GCTGGGGCCCAGCCAGTGGAGGCTGGGAGGAGGGAAATGAGCAACTAGTTCTCAAGGGCCCGTGAGCGACAGCCGCAGGCCGGCCGCCGCCTCCCAGTGGCTTCCTTCTGGCATTAAAGTCTCCCTCGCTCTTTTGGTAAACGCAGACACTTTTCTGTATTTTCAAAACTGTGGCCACAGAACCAGACCCGGCTTTACGCCCAATTTCTCGAGGTTCCATAGAAGAAGGGACCGAGGTGAAAGCTCTGGGGTCCGGACACCATGATTAAGGGAACCTTCTCCCTCCTCCAAGCTGCGGCTCCTCCTGGAGATGAGCAGGTGCAGGCCAGGTGGGCAGCCACAGTGCTCTCCCGCCCACAGACCTCCCCCACAGTCCTCTCCCCCACAGTCCTCCTCCCCGCCCACAGCCCTCTCCCCCACAATCCTCCCCGCCCACAGCCCTCTCCCCCACAGTCCTCCCCCCCACAGTCCTCTCCCCGCCCACAGCCCTCTCCCCCACAGTCCTCCCCCCCACAGTCCTCTCCCCGCCCACAGCCCTCTTCCCCACAGTCCTCCCCCACACAGTCCTCTTCCCCACAGTCCTCCCCGCCCACAGCCCTCTCCCCCACAGTCCTCTCCCCCCACAGTCCTCTCCCCCACAGTCCTCTCCCCCATAGCCCTTCCCCCCATAGTCCTCTCCCCGCCCACAGTCCTCTCCCCCACAGTCCTCTCCCCCCACAGTCCTCCCCCCCACAGTCCTCTCCCCGCCCACAGCGCTCTCCCTGCCCATAGTACTTCCTCTGCCCAGAGTACCCTCCCCACACACACTACCCTCCCCACACACAGTACCTTCCCCACACACAGTACCCTCCCCACCCACACTACCCTCCCCACACACAGTACCCTCCCCACACACAGTTCCCTCCCCACACAGTACTCCCCCTCCCACAGTACTCCCCCCACCCACAGTACTGCCTCTGCCCAGAGTACTCTCCCCGCCCAGAGTACCCTACCCGCCCACACTACCCTCCCCACACACAGTACCCTCCCCACAAACGTACCCTCCCCACACACAGTACCCTCCCCACACAGTGCTCTCCCGACCACAGTGCTCTCCCTGGGACAGAGTGCCCTCCTAGGAACCTACACTTGCAAGAGGCTGTGTCGCCAGCCTGTTCAGCTGCAGAACAGGGTGTTCAAAGGGTCACAAGTGCCTGTGTTCACAAGCGAGTGCCCCTCCTGAAGGACACACTGAGCGTGGCTCCTCACAAGGCCACGCGCCTCGGAGAGGGGGATCCCCACACCCCTCCCCGGGAGGGGGCAGGAGGTTCAGCAGCACTCAGGCAGGAATAACCACGACCATCTCATCAACGGGAACACCGTGGCCTGCCTGCCCGCCGCTGCCTGCCTGGAGCTGCTCGGCCAGTGAGCTCTTTTCATCCTCATGAGTCTGCGGTGTGCATGTCCCCTCCTCTTCCCCTCCCGCCCCCCACACTCCCACAGGTGACAACCAGCCCGGGGTGGCCGGCCAGCACCATCCGGCAGCAGCGCCCCGGAGCACCTCCTGCCAGGAGCACGCCTTTATGTGCCTCACGGGTGCCTGGGACCTTCCCCGGGGGCCGCCGGGAGGAAGGTGCCGTCACGGCCACCACTCCCACCTGAAGGGGGACTGAAGAGGGTGTCTGCCCACTCACAGGCCTCCCCACGCCTGTGCTCGGCCAGGCGTCCCCCGGTGTCTTCTCTGCCTCCCACGGCTCCGTGTCCTGCCACCCACCCTGGCAGAGGCACGGAGCACTGAGCACCCAGAGGCGAGCATGCTGCTACAGGTCTGGGTGCACCCCAAAGAGCTAAACCAGCACGAGGACAATGCACCTGGCTGTGGGCCCCGGGAGTCCCTCACCCTCTCAGGGACACTTAGTTTTCACCCAGGATGGAGGCGCCTCAACAAATTAAAAACAGAACTCACACATGACCCGGCAATCCCACTTTGGGGTACTTATTCAAAGAACCCAAAACACTAACTTGAAAAGACAGGTGCACTGCGCTGTTATTCACAACAGCCACCATGGGGCAGCCACCAGAGGCCAGTGGGGGAAGAAGGGGTGCACTCGTGCATGGAATACCCCTCGGCCATGAGAACACAGACATGTAGATGCATTCTGCTCCGCGAAGTAAGTCAGACAGAGGAAGGCAAATACCGTATGCTGTCACTCAGGTGAACTCTAAAGAACAAAATCAACAAACAAAACAGACTCGCAGATGCAGAGAACAGACGGAGGACCGCCGGATGGGAGGGGCTGGGGGCGGGCTGAGGGGAAGGAGCCTGGAAGGAGGGAAGGAGGCTGGTGGCTGCAGAGCAGTCACGGGGACAGAAAGCACAGGGAGCACAGCAGGCAACTCTGTGGTCTGTGAAAGTGGCGCCGGTGTGCAGGCTTCTCAGGGACACCTGCTGAGGGATGTACATGCTAATGGAGCAGTGATGTCAACGTAACTGAAAAACATTTTTAATTTATAAAGAAAAACATAAGACTTAGTTTTCTGCTCTGTAAGATGGCAATAACAACAACATCTCCTTTACCGGGTTCCTGTGAGGATTAAATTAAAGGAGGGAAAGTAAGCAGCCCTGTGCACAGGGTCAGCCCCTAAAACTATGTGGGCACCCCGACCGCAGACGCCTCTTACTGGCCAATGGTGTGCGCGCCCCTGTGCTGAATCCCAGGGCGCGCTGGGGGATTCAGCACTGTGCGGGGCGTGGGAGCCGGGGTCCCCGCTTCGCCCTCCTTCAGGTGCTGAAGGAGCGGGGTCCCGGCCGAGGGGTGGGGCTTTCACGGAGCCTCACTCCTCTGAAGGGGACTGACTGTACTTGGGTGCCCAGGTCCGGCACAGAGGGTGGGGATGGGGGTGGGGGAACACTGGGACCACTTCCAGGAAAGCCCCAGGAGCCCTCAAAGAAATCAAATTTTAAGGATCTGGAAAAAACAAAAACACCAACTGCCCTTCAGGACATGGAGGGGATGGCACGTTGCCATGGCAACCAGAGGCTGACTTAGTCAGCAAGTGCTGGCAAGAGAATCTCAGGGAGGAGGCAACACAAAGACAAAGGGAACCGATTAAACCCTTCTGCTGGGAAACCACCTCCCGGCGACTTCTCCCCGACAGCCCCCTCCGTGTGGAATTCGGGGGTGCTTTTCCAGTTTTGAACACGAGGACAAACAGGCAAGGAGGGACCACACATTCTAGTCCCAGGTGTAACATCAGTCTCTGGGTAACGGAGGACACTGCGGCCCCCCACACGGCTTCCTGGCACCGGCTCCCCTCTGCCTCTCCACTCAGCAGGCCAACCTCGTCCTGTATCTGAATCACAGGCGCGATCACGGGGTCTCACCACCTTCCCATTAATTAATTCACGTAATATTCTATTTTGAAGGAGAACATGGTTCCTCTATGAAATACAAATAGAAACATACTCTCGTGAGTAAACATGTTCTTTGCCTCTGAGCGGTTTTTGAAACATGGCAAAGACAGTGTGAGCTATACATAATAACAGAGGCCAGCAACCTTGGTGGGCCTGCGTTTGTAAATAAAGTTTTGTTGGCACAATTATGCATTATAGTCAGTCTGTGCCGCCCGCTGACCCAGCGCCCAGGGCCGTGCAGTGGGACGAGAGCAGACTGTGTAGCTACAGAAGACACGGGCCCACATAGCCACACAGTCGCGACCTGGCCCCTCGAAGCAAAAGTCTGCCAGCACCTGAAGCATCTGATTGGTGACCTGTGACCTTAGAAGTGCCAAATGCTGCGTACCCAAGGGGTATGCACGTCTCTCACGGGGAGGACTACGTAATTCGGAGAATTGACACAGGCATAGAGCCAGCGCTTCCTGGCCATCCTACAATGTAACTGTGAAGAACACCAAAGGCAAAGACTGGAAAGAGCTGATACACAATGAAAAACTGTTGATCCCACTAAAAATGAGAAATGACCAAGTGAAACTTGTGTGACTGCACCTGCATCAGTGAGCCAGGCCTCAAGTGCTGAGACAGTGAGCAACACGAGGCTGAGCAGCAGGAACGGGAAACCTCTGAACCTAGCCCTCACCCTAAACATAGCCCTAACCCTAACCACAACCCTAATCCTAACCCTCACAGGGATGCCTCAAAGGACTCGGGACCCTGACCCTAGCTCTAGTCTTAAAGAACCTGATCGTGACCATGACCCTAGCCCTAGCCTAATCCTAACCCAATCCTAATCCCAACCATAATCCTAACCCTAACCCTAACCTTAACTCCAATCCTAAACCTAACCTTAACCCCAACTTTAACCTTAACCCTAACTCTAACCATGAACCTAGTCCCAGCCTTAGCCCAAACCCTAACCCTAACCCAGAACCTGACCGGGACTCTGACCCTAGTCCTAGCCATAACCCTACCCTAATGCAAACCCCAACCCTAACCCTAACCTTAATCTTAACCCCAGCCCTAACCACAACCCTATCCCTAGCCCTAACCCCAACCCCAACCCTAACCTTAACTCCAACCCCAACCCTAACCCTAACCCTAACCCTAACCCCAGGCCTTACTCCAGCCCTAACCCTAACCCTAACCCTAACCCCAGGCCTTACTCCAGCCCTAACCCTTGCCCTAACCCCAACTCCAACTCTAACCTTAACCCCAACCCCAACCCAACCCCAACCCTAACCCTAACCCTAACCCAACCCTAACCCTAACCCTAACTGGCAGAGATGAAACCAGGACCACTACTTCAAGGAGCACCGCAGCAAAGCCTGAAGAATGGAGCAGCACGCTGTGACGCCACTACCACAGGAAGGCACGTGCTGAGGCCAAGGATGCTGCTGAGCACGTGACTGCAAAGGACCAGCCCCATGACAAGGGCTGAGTGTGGGGAGTGGCGAGCCAGCAACCCACGTTAGTGCCACACTCAGAGCCCACGAAGGTGCCTGGGAGAGAGAGGCTTGTGGGGCTCCCCTGCGGCCAGCCTCGGCTCTGGCCCTGGCGTACTTACTTGGAGAGCTTCATCTCTATCTGCTGCCGGATTTCCTGCCGCTCCTCGTCCGTCCTCCGGGGGAAAATGTTGCGGTCCTCCAGCTCCTGCTTGCTGGGCCGGTTCCTCAGTCTCACGGCCAGCAGCTCCTTCTTGCATTTCCTCGGCAGAGTTCCTGGGGAGCAGGGGAGGGGCAGCAGAGACAGTGTTAGGGAGTCCGGGGGGTCCCTGCAGCCCTGCCTGCCTGGGGAAGGGTGTGGGCAGAGCGAGGGGCACTGTCAGCTGTGGTGACTTCCAGGGGAGCAGCAGTGATAGGGACGGCAACCGGATGGCCATCTCCCACCTCTATGGTAGGGGGTCCATCACATGGCAAGTCTCCAGGGCCAGTGCTGGGTGACACAGTTGCTCTAGCTGATTATTAATAGCACCCACTTTCCTTTTCAAAAGTGTCCACGTTTGGTTCATAACTTACAGTTTTTTTGCCCATGGCAACCCTCCCCACTGCCCGCCACCCTCTGGTCAGGCGGTTCCTGGAACGTCCAGCCTGGTCCACACCCACGTCCGTCCTCCACAGGAACCTGCTCTGCCACATCGTCTGGGGCTGGCCTCTCGCTGAGCCCTGCGCCAGCCTCGAGCCATCTCCTCAGACAGGCCCGCGGGGCTCCGTCACTGTCACCCTCACCAACTCCGCCCTCATCCGCTTCTCTGCTGTTAGTTTATTCGGCATCTCCCACGAGACTTGAACTTCAACTGTCATCTGCTCTCCAGGTATCAGGACGGTGTTGGCAAAGTAAGTTATTAATGATCGCTGCTGAGTGAATAGAGGGGGTGGGGCTGGCTCGGGGTTGAGGAGGCGGAGGCAAGCCCGTATTCTGCACATGTCACGTCAGGGGTGGAATCTGGGCAGGAGTAAGACCCTGGGAAACATGCCCTAGTCAGTTTGGCTCAGTAGATCAAACATTGGCCTGTGGACTGAAGGGTGACAGGTTTGATTCCCAGGTCAAGGGCACATACCTGGGTTGTGGGCTCGATCCCCAGGAGGGGGCGTGCAAGAGGCAGCCGATCAATGACTCCCTCATCATCAATGTTTCTCTCTCTCTCCCTCCCCCTTCCTCTCTGAAATCAATAAAAATGCATTTTTTTAAAAAGGGTTTTGGGGGACAGAATGTCTGAACTCACTTCAGAACAGGACTGGCGTGTGGCTGCAAGCACAGGCGGGCGTCACTCAGCTGGGAAATGGGGTGTCCAGCTCTCTGAGCCTCCTGAACAGTAGAGCCCCAGCTGCCCTCACAAAGGGTGAGCAGACCGCAGATGTGTAGGGTGTGTTGCTGGAAGCGGATATTTAAATCTGGGGTTAAAACCATCACCCTGCATGGTCTCTCCCATAATATAATAGTTTGAAGACAAACTATTTCTTAGGAAAAGAAACTTCCAAAAGAAAGTCAATTCCTCGTGTGGGGATGAAAATTCAAAGAAATAAGTCTAATAAGATGATGGTTTAATAGAAGGTTGGGATGAAGTAAGACAAAAAGTTGGACTCAGCTGAGGCTTGGATTTCTAATCTGAAATAGTTTGTGTGTTTTACAGAGAAAAGAGAAAAATAATGACCCCAAAACCATGTCAGCAAGAGCTCCAGCCTGACTTGCTGTCCCAGCTCTTCGGTGGGCATGGGCCCTGTGCTTACAGCGCCATGAAGACCCTGCAGGGCTGCGTGCTTGTCTCAGAGGGTCCTACTGCGTGCTTGTCTCAGAGGGTCCTGACTGCGTGCTTGTCTCAGAGGGTCCTACTGCGTGCTTGTCTCAGAGGGTCCTGACTGCGTGCTTGTCTCAGAGGGTCCTGACTGCGTGCTTGTCTCAGAGGGTCCTGACTGCGTGCTCTGAGGAAGACTGGCTATGGTGACATCGCAAGTCAAAGGCACCTCAAAGGGACCAACCCATCGTGAATGTCACGGGTGTAACCCGTGGCGGAAGGGACTGCCATTCCCAGAGAACTGGAATACGCTTAACCACAAAACTGTGCTGACTGTAGCCAACCATTTCGCTTTTGATCAAGTCCCTAGGCCTATGCAAATATATCAGGTGTGTCATTACAAACTTCAGTCTCATGTGTCCTTAACTGAAGACCCTTTCACCAGAGAGCTCCAGCATAACTGATAATTCACCCACATGAAATCTGTGCACGGGCCAAGTCCTCCTCTGCTCAACATCCAGCCTCTATGAAGATACTGGGCCCACAGTAGGGCTGCAACAAACACAATTCAGGTCTTCCCAAGGCATCAGGAGGTTAGCAGGACATTTCCAAACACATAGCTTAAAAACAGAGCAGTTTTCATGAATGGAGAGGTACACCTGCCCAACCAGTGCGAGTGCCCGGCCAGCGCATGGCCCAGGGCACACTGGACAGCCGGGTGGCCGAGATCCAGCCAAGATACCCTCTGTCCAGACTGGGGGCCAGCAATCTCCTCCCAAAGGCTCCCAAAATCCCTGCTGGCCGAGCGTTGGGCCAGAAGTCCCACCTCCAGGAGTCTGCCACCCAAAACAAACGGACAAGCACGTAAAAGGCATCCACAGAGGGACCTTCGGCCTCATTTATGAACGTGAGAAATGAAGCCACCTAGACTTCCCACAAGAGGGGACTTGTGCCATGTGAATATGGTGAGCCTGGGAAGACAGTGGTGGCAGGGGTCCCTGAGGGACAAAGACAGTCATCATGAGGCTGTGAGAAGTAACATGTAGAAAGCTGTGCTTGCGTATACGTACAGAAATACAGTTGTGTATCTAATTGTGTAAGTATATGCAGAGTAATGCCAGAAATGAATTATTTAACTTACTGAGTTTAATTTCCTGTATTTTAACCCTGAATTATAGTTTTCTGAAATTAAGAAATTGTTTAAAAATAAAAACTTTAAATCCAGAGATGGAGAAGCATCAATCAGACTGTCAAAACTCAGAGGGAAGGCAGAGGAGGGTAGGGGGAAGGGGAAGAGATCAACCAAAGGACTTATATGCATGCATATACTGGTAAGTCTAACCAATGGACACAGACACTAGGGAGGTGAGGGCACCAGTTGGGTGGGGGGGGACAATGGGGGAATAAGGACACATATGTATTACCGTAATCAATAAAGAAAAAATAGACACAAATAGATTGAAACAACATAGGAGAATGATATTCCAATCTAAAACTAATCAAAAGAAAGCTGCAGTCAGACAAGCAAAGAGCCACACCAGGAACAAAGACAGGGCTCTCACAGCGATAAGGAGACAACGATCCTAAATGCTTATGACCCTATTAAGCGGTTCAAATACATGAGGCAGAAACTGACAGGTCAGAGGCAGGAAATAGACTAGTCACAGTTGGAGATGTCGGAATCTCCAAGCAGCGGGCGGAATGGGCAGGCAGACGTGTGAGGACGAAGCGGGTGTGAACACTATTCTCAAGCAATTGGATTTGACTAACATTTATAAAACCACTGGAGACCCTCAGCCCAGCCTGCACCCTCTTCAATCTGGGACCCTTTGAGGGATGTCCAACTGCCCGTTTAGGTCCGATCAGAATATGACCTTTACCAAGAGAAACCATATTCTGGACCACATGAAGTCCAAATACATTTAAAAGTACTCAGGTTACACTAAGCATGTGCTCTGCTCGAGTGCGATTGAATTGGCAATCAACAATAAAAATATCTCTAGAAAAATATCCAACTCTTTGGAAACTAAATAAATAACTTTTGAATAATCCATAGTTTCAAGAAGAAATCGAAGGGGAAATTAGAAAGCATTTTGAAGTAAATAAAAACACAACATATCATTAGGGTTTTGGGGCAAACATTTACAGCACCAAATGTCGCTATTAGAAAAGAAGAATGAACTCGAATTGGTGCCTTCAGAGTCCATCTCAACAAACTAGGAAAGGAAGAGCAAATAAAATCAAGGAAGTAGAAAAACTAATAAGGATCAGAACAGAAACTGATAAAATCAAACAGAAAGATAACGAAGCAAATATCTGAATCTGAGAGCTGGTTCTTTGAGAAGAGCAATAAAACTGATCAAACTGCCTGACTGGCATGGCTCAGTGGTTAGCATCGACCTATGAACTAGCAGTCAGGGTTCAATTCCCCGTTGGTCAAGGCACATGCCTGGGTTGTGGGCTTGATCTCCAATGGGGAATGTGCAGGAGGCAGCAAATCAATGATTCTCTCTCCCTCTTCCTTTCTCTCTGAGATCAACAAAAAGTTATTTTAAAAAACCATTTGATCAAACTTAGCCAGACTTATTGGTGAGGCAGGTGAATGAGAGAACCCAATATCAGGAAGCGGAAGACGGTAGTTGCCTCTGGTTCCATGCCAGCCCTCGAGGCTCACTCAGGAAGAAATACAGAACCAAAACAGGCCTACCGCTATCAACAAATGTAATTTCCAGTTAAAACCTTCCTCCACCTACAAATAGAACCCTGCAGGGCCAGATGAGTGCTCTCATAAACTGTGAGACACGTTGAGAAGTAAACACCAGTTCTATACACATTATGCTAGAACATCGAAGCAAAGAGGATACTTAAAACTCATGCCATCAGGCTAGAATTCTCTGGCATGTCAAGACCAGAAAAGAGAATTAAAGAAAACAAAAGACTAACCGCTCCTATGAACATCGATGTAAAATTCTAAACAAAATTTCAGCAAATCAATTCGGCAGCTGAAGCGCTAACCTGCCCTGGCCAGCGGGGAGCGAGGGGCCCGGCACTGGAAAAGCAACCGCATCACTCTCCACATCAGCAAACTTCAGAGGAGAAGCATGTGATGGCCTCCACAGCCACGCTCTGACCTGGGCCTGGCCCTGGCCAGAGCTGAAGACTCAGGAGACTTGGCCCGGGAGGTTAGGGGAGGGACAGTGCCATCCAGGAAGATGGGGGCCGCCCTGGGTCCCAGCAGAGGTCTGGCTCAGAGAAGCATGCTCTCCCCGTCAGGCGCAGACATGACACAGGCTCGCTGTGAACAGCTCATGGTCACAGCTGTGGTGGGAGATCGCCCCCCACCCCCTTGCACCTCGCACCTCTAGAAACCACCACAGAGCTGCCCATGCTCCTTCCAGACTGCGGCTACGCAATCAGCGCTCACAGTCCCCTGACTGCACCCCCCCGCCCCGGGGCTCCCACTCCACGCCGGCCCACGCCAAGCTC